GGCCACATCCATGTCATTGAGTAACAATTCCGTCTTTATATCTGTTGCTGGGGCGAGTAGCTCACTCATCAGTTCTTTCAGATTCTCTCCTCTATTCTCTGGCAACCCTTGGAAGCGCAGGACCATGTTGGCCTTATCCATTTGCACTTGCAGCATCTGATCTTCCAAAGAAACAGTTTTCTTTTCCAATTTTTGCACTTTCTTCCTCACTTTCTGCGTTGTCTCAGCCATTTCCTTTACTTTCTCTGCATCCTGCTTCATTACTTGGATCAAATCCGTTATTTGCGTTTGTTGAGCAGTAATGCTTGTTGTCACAACTTGCAGCTGCTTTTGTTGTGCAGTAATATTTGCTGTTACAACAGACATCTGTTCTTTAAATACATTGAGCTGTTCCAGCAGAGGGCGCATGACCTTCGTCATCGCCTTCGTCGTCTCACTGGTCGTTTCTAGCTTCGGGGATTCTAGTTTCGTTTTTAAAAGTTTCTCTTTGTCTCTCTTCCCCGCCATCTTTTTCTCGTTTTTTTGCTTTCGCAATAAATTTTAAAGTCTCTGAATATGCGCTTATCTGTATAGCTCTATGGGTGAGTACTTCTCGGCAATTTTGTGTTTATTCTTCCACTCCCTCCCTCTTTTGTGTTTATTCTTCCACTCACTCCCTCTTTCACTCAATGATTTATGGGCATGGGAGGCGTCCCTCCCCCCACTCACTTCTGCCGTTTCACCGCTTTGGGTAGGGAGTGTCTTTTCGTTTAAAAATCAGTTCTCATTTGACTCACGTTCATAGTTGGTCTTCCGACCCCTCTTCATTCATCATTTCAAACGCCTGATCTCCTGAGCTTGACCCGGCTAGCTTCACTTGTACCATCAGGTCTCTCGGCTGGAAGAACCACTGGAGCAAGGGGGAGCCTCAATTCTCTGATATTCAGCCAGAGAAGAGGCTACCCCCTCAAAGCTCCTTGGCCGGGGTCCCTTCTCCGGGTCCCTGGGGGGGGTTATGAGCATGTTCATCCCCTCCGTCCGCTGGAGCACGGATACACCCCCTGGAGGTCCAGGAGGTGAGTCCGTGAGCATGCCGCCATCAACCGGAAGTCGTTCCAGTTCCTTTTTGATATAAATCACAGTCCCTCTTTTCTTTTTCCCTGTTAAGGAATAGAATTCTTCTCCCAGTTGTTTGGCGACCAAATATTTAAAGTCTTGGCTTTTTATACGAGTCTCTTGCAAGCAAATTATATTACATTTTTGTTTCCCCAGCCAATGTTTCACAATTTTTTTTTATTGGGTGAGTTAAGCCCATTTACATTCCACAATATCAATTTGTAATCCATCATGGTGTCGAATTATTTATCTCCAAAGTCCTTACCATTATCCGCCATGAATCTGATCATTTGTTCCACTGTCTTGATCGTGTATCTTTGGCTTTGAAAGCTAAAGCTCACTCCTTGTGGTATTTCCCATCTGTACCTTATTTTCAGCTGTCTCAATTTATCTGTATTTCTTTGTATCTTGAATGATTGCTCTGGGGAGTTCCTTCATTATAATTATCTTTTTTCCATCCATTTCCAATGGTTCCGTAAATTGTTTCTTATATATAACTTCCTTTATCCATTTAATTAGTAACTGTACTATCACATCTCTTGGCAGATTCTTCTGTTGTGCATATGCTGAGTTTACTCTATAAATCAAAATTAAATTCTATGTCATCCTCTTCTTCTTGTAAGTAATCTGCAACAGCTTTAATCACTCTGGTACGTATATCATCATCCATTTTTTCTTCCACCCCTCTCAGTCTAAGATGGTTCTGCATATCCCTATATTCCATCATTGTGTCTAGCCGTTTATTTTCTTTCAACACTGTTTCCACTTTTTGATCTATCTCTTGTGTTTTCTTCTCCATTTCAGTCGATTTTAATGATAAACTTTGAAAGTCTTTTTTAATTTCTCCCATTTCCTTTTTAAGGTCCGCCACCTCCGACACTACTAGTTCTTTCATTTTGGCCATATTTTTCTCTTGAGCTTCCTCCATCTCTTTGCCCAGATCTTGAATAGCATCCATCATCCTCTTTTCCATAGCTTCCATTGCTGCTTGCAATTCCTTAGCCATCTTCGGAGTCGACCATGACCCAGCTCTCTGTCTCTGTCTTAAATCCGTTATTAAAAATTAATAAAACTCTTCCAAATTGTGAAATTCCACTTATACCGTTCAACAGCCCATTAAGCGTTTAGCCGAACCGCTC